GACAGCATCGGTCGACGAGCCGACTAGACTGGCGCCCTGTATGCACTTGCGGACTTTGGAATGGGCACCATCGCAGCCGACAATGTATCGTGTGTTGAAGGTCTTGGGGGCACGGCCGACGTCTTGCTGGCAGCTGACGGTAAGCGGACGGATGGCCATGGGCGTGTACTTGAAATCGACAAAGGCAGTGTTCCTGGCTACCGTGACACCTCTCTCCTTCAGATCATCCTCGAGCACGCCCTCGACCATGCCCTGGTGGACGAGCAGCATGTAGGGATCGGTGAGGTCTACGACAGGCGGGTAGTGAACCTCGCGGTTGGAGCGGTACAGCGGCTTGTCGACTGTCGACTTCCAAAAGGCAATGTCGTAAATCTTGACGCCTTTGCGCAGCAGTGGCTCTGCAAGACGCATCTGGCGGAGAGTCTCAATCGTCTTTGGCTGCAGGCCGTCGGCACGGCCGGCAGCGGTGCGGTTGGGTCGGTCATCGATGATGCGTGTCTTGATGCCGTAGCGGACCAAGTTGTCGCTGTATGGATTGGTTAGAGGGTGCACTCTTGGCTGGCAGTGTGGTTGGGTGTGTCGAATACTCACGCAAGCATGAGGCCGGCGGGGCCTGCGCCGACGACCATGACATCACTCATGAAGCTGGAGTAGTCGTCCTCTCTGGTGTAGGGCACGCTGGGGGTCGTCTCCAAACTGCTGCCTGTAGAACGGGATTCCGAGTCTGAGATGGTGGTGATGCCGGGAGCCATCTTGTCGCGGATGGACGTGGGCGGGCTGGTCGAGGTTGAGCGCTTCATGCGCGTCCATAGCGAGGGCGCCATGCTTTTGCTATGTAGGCAATAGTGGGCGGGGCGCTAGGGCAGAGAGGGTCGGGGGAGGCCGACTCGGTCGAGGTGAGAAGGATTTGAAGAGTCAAACACCGTTCGATTATCTGTCGAAGATGCGCCCATTTTCAAACGGCAGAGCAGCGTCCAGGGTCGTCCGAGGCGCGTCATTGTGCTGGCGGCGAGGGAGAGAGAGTGGGCGCCAATGGGTGATGCGACGCAAGGGGTTGCATGCACACGGCCGTGAACGGCTTCTTTCAGCCCCACCCGCATCCCCGGCTGCCACCCAAGTCACCACCACGTCCCATGTCGTTGTCATGGCTGTGGCCGTTGCAACCCCCCGACAAGACGCCGACGGCAGCTAGCTGTCCTGAGCAAGCCGCGATATTGCATCCACGTGGAAGGGGTTGGGGTTGGGGTTGTTGAGCAGGCCAGTGTGCCCGGGGGGATGTGGAAGTACCAGTATACAATGTCCATGTGCGTACGGTACATCTCAAAGCGGTGTGTCCGTCTGTCTGGCTGTCTGGCCGTGCCGTCTCTTGTAATTCTTGATGTTAATGGTCCCCACCAGGGCCCCCTCTATCTCGCTCTCTCTCTGTCTGTCTTTATCTCTGCTATCGCTGCTATCTCTTGTATCTCGTGTATCTCGTGTATGCTGACTGACTATATTTTCACCGTCACCACCACCACCACCACCTCGTCTTCTTCTTCTTCTTCTTCCTCCTCCTCCTCCTCCTCCACCACCACCTCCTCCACCATGACGACATGCAGCACGTCCCAATTGCAATGGCAGCAAGTAGCCGCCCAGAAACAGTCTTTGCGTCGAGCGGCCATGCAGCGCTTCACGGGCGCAGACGCTGAAACGACGGCAGCAGAAGTGAACCCGGGCGGCTTGCGGATGCAGGTGGTGCACGCTGACAACTGCAGGCCTTGCCCAATGCGGACCACAGCCTGGCCTTGACCTCCGCCATCAGCAGCCTCCATCTCGTCTCCGAAGCCATCTCCTCGCGCGCTGTCACGGCTTCGCAGCTGCTGCTTGCCTACATCGCCCGGTAAGTAAGCTTTGCTCCCCATCCTCAACTTGCTCTCGACCCATTCTCACGCCACCTTTTCTTGCACAGCGCTACACATGCTCAAACCCGCGTACGGCCCGCCGCCTTCCATCCTCTACTAGTAGTCGACCTCCGACCCCCCGTCCCGCTAACTGCCTTGTACAGACAAACTGGCACGTGCCCGCCCTCTCTCCTCTTCTCCAATGCAGTCCAATGCAGTCCTATCCAATCCAATAACCCTCCCGCTCATTCCCCCCGCCGCCTTTGCTGACTGATGCAGTCTGACCGAGATTCTCTTTGAAGATGCCCTTAAACAAGCCAAGGAGCTGGATGCCTTTTTCGAACAAAACGGCCGTCTGGTGGGGCCTCTCCACGGCGTGCCAATGACTCTCAAGGACCAGTTCGATGTCAAGGGATACGACAGCACCTTGGGCTACGTCGGACGGGCTTTTCGTCCTGCCCTCCAAGATTGCGTCTTGGTCTCTATGCTCAAAGCCATGGGCGCTGTCATCCTTGCCAAGTCCAATCTCCCCCAGAGCATCATGGTAAGTGTATACATGAATAAGTGCTTATATTTACACCCATACATGTCCACATTATGTATTACTATAGACCTATGCACACACACACACACACACACACACACACACACACACACACATACACGCGACATGCATGGCTTCCAGAACAAAGTGCACAACTGACTCCGCCAGTGGTGCGAAACGGACAACCCATTGTGGGGCCGTACCGTTCATGATAAAAACCCCGAATTCACCCCCGGCGGTTCCACTGGTGGGGAGGCGGCGCTGCTGGCACTGCAAGGTACAGTGGTTGGATGGGGCACCGACATTGGAGGTAGCGTGCGCATTCCCTCCCATATGAACGGCCTATATGCTCTTAAGCCCAGCAGTACGCGTCTACCATACCAAGGCGTTTCCGTCTCGACCGAAGGCCAGGAGCACGTCCCGTCCGTTGTAGGGCCGATGACTCGAAACATGGCCTCCCTAGTCGACGTCACAAAGGCAGTGATCGACGCAAGTCCCTGGGACCACGACCCAAAGTGCTGTCCAGTTGCTTGGCGATCTGAACTCTACCAAGATGCGCTATCCAGGCCGTTGGTGATCGCAGTCATGCGCGACGATGGCGTAGTCAGGTGCCATCCACCCATTGCACGCGTACTCGATCAAGTAGCCGCTGCTCTCCAAGACGCTGGCCACGAAGTGATGGCGTGGACACCAGGCGGTCTGCACCAGGAGTGCATCGACGTCATGGCAAGTCCATCACCATTTCCACATCTGACTCGACCCTGACGACGTGTGTGCAGGACCAGTTTTATACGGCCGATGGCGGTGAGGATATCCGACGTGACGTCGAGGCCGGTGGCGAGCCCTTCATACCCCATGTCGAGGCCCTCGTGAATAGGGGACAGCCCATTTCGGTATACGACTACTGGCAGCTCAACAAGCAGAAGCTGGCATTGCAGAAGCGCTACCTGGACATGTGGAACTCGACGCGCTGCGAGAAAAGCGGAAAGTCTGTCGATGTTCTGCTTACCCCCGTCATGCCACACTCTGCCGTACCACATGGTCAGTCCCGGTGGGTAGGATACACCAAAGTTTTTAACTTCATAGACTACCCGGCAGTTGTGCTGCCTGCCGGTCAAGTTTCAAAAGAGCTTGATGCTGAGGCTACCAAAGCCATGGGTGAATACCGTCCCAGAAATCCCTTGGACGAATGGAACTGGAACATGTTTGACCTGGAGGCAATGGACGGCATGCCGATTGGAGTGCAGGTTGTAGCGCGTCGCTTGCATGAGGAAAAGGTGCTTGGTGCTGCAGCTGCCATTGACAGGATAGTTAATGGGGTGTAGTGTGGTACGCACTTGTAATGTCCGTTTAGCACTTTTGTTGATGCGGCTGCAAACAAGTTAAATTAGAGTTTTGCCGAGCTTTTGAGATGCCGACCGTGAAGATGCCGCTCGCTCGTGTTCGGCGGATCCTGAAGGATTGAGCCTAACGCACGTGAATACGCGAGCACGCGACAACCAAGCCTATAATGATTCGTGGCGTCCCCGCTATCGAGTCGTGCAAGTGCAAGGTGCCCTGCTCCACTGTGGAAAGCGACCCTGCATCAATAGGCCGCGGGCAAGCGGGGAAATACGATCAAGACATCACAAGCCAAGTGATGATTTTTACAATACCTCCTGTCGAGTTGCTTTTTTACATCTTCTGTTATGTTTACTCTGATACGCCAACTTCAATATTTGATGTAGTCGGAATTTGACCTGCTTAGTACAGAGAAGTTTCCTTCGATATCCAGCCAAAACTCGCATGATAAGAGTGCTCTGTAAGGTGAACGTCAACCGCCACGTGACGATATCGAATGGGAGCTCGTACCAGCGATTGATTTGTACAGCATCCCTTGCATCCTTCTCGTCATGTCCTAGAAACCTTATCTATATCGGTCCCTGCCCATGTACCGTTCACTATCTCCATGTCGCAGTCCCGTCATGCTAAAATCAAAGGGTAGTATACTAGAGTACACTACGCTCTTCTCCAAGCCCTCTCGTACTACGTCAGCATCGGAACACACGGAACCTATCGGAATAAAGCCACAACGCATACCCCTCACGCCGTCATGTGCCTATCTATCCCATACTCACGCACCTCGCAAGCTCGCCCTCTCCCCCACACACATGCAGCATGTATCAACGACATTATTTAGCCTACCGGATATGCACCTGTGCACCAATGATGCTCCCGAAGCTAACCGTCGCCGCTGCCCAGAAAAAAAAACAAAGGAAAGCAAAGGTTCCATCTGCAAAGCTAGATAAGCTATCGACACTTGCTCGCGCGTCCTGTTGAGCTACTGTATGTGATCGTCACACAAGGTTTGCGCCTGCCTGATAGGCTGGTGAGACGGAGCCGTATGACGACAACTGACAGCTTGCTCTCTCCAAAGTGCAGCATGTAGTGTTTGAGCTGGCTGATAAGACGTGGATGGGCATCCTTTGAGCCGCTTGGATAGCTGTACAAGTCCTGTTGGTGGTTTTGCGGCTTTTGTGTCTTGAGACGTGAGAACACACAGATACGGCTGAGGTAGCAAGCGGAGAAGTGACATCATGACTCCCGGTAAGCCGAAGGTTATGGTAAAGAAAGAGCGTGATGAGCGGAGTAGGCTTGATGTAAGTGTTTTTTCGCGTCTGTTTACTTTATCACGGATTTTTGTTTATTGATTCGGTGTCCTACAGGTTGTCATCGTCGGTGCTGGGCTTGGTGGTCTCGGAGCAGCGATATCGATCTTACTAGCTGGGCACAACGTACACATCCTCGAGTCGACGTCGGAAATTGGTGAAATCGGCGCTGGAATCCAATGCTTACCGAATGCGTCACGCATCCTGATATCCTGGGGTCTCGAAGAGTATCTTGAGAAGTATGCGACGACACCGCGGTTCGGCAATATGCTTGGGTGGAAGGGAAATAAGATAAGCGACATGGATTTTCACGAGTATGAAGGAGAATGCGGGACGCCGTTTTGGGATTTTCACAGGGCGGACTTGCATAGGGGACTGTTGGAACGAGCAGTCGAGTTGGGTGCAAAGTTGACTACAAGAGCTCGGGTCGTGGATATCGAGTACGAAGCCGATCAAGGGAACCAGACTACCCGAGCCATCGCCATATGTCACGACGGCACGCGACACGCAGCCGATCTCGTAGTCGGGGCCGACGGCATCAACTCCAAATGTCGCGAGATACTCCTCGGCCACAAAGACCCCCCGCTTCTCACCGGCGACCTCGCATACCGCCTCCTCCTCTCCACCAGCGACATGCTCAAAGACCCGGATCTCGCACCTTTTGTCCTTGACCCCCAGGTAAACTACTGGATCGGGCCCGACGCCCACGCAGTAAACTACGTCCTCCGCGGCGGTAAGCTCTTCAACATGGTCCTCCTCGTCCCAGACGACATGCCCGCCGGCGCCAACACGCTCGCGGGAAACGTAGAGGAAATGCGGGCCCTCTATAAAGACTGGGACCCCCGCATCCGCAAGTTACTCGCGCTATGCACGTCCGTAGCTAAATGGCGGTTGATGATCCGCCCGGGGCTTGATCCTACTTGGTCTCATACCCGGTCCGCTGCTTTTACGATTCTAGGGGATGCCGCGCATGCGACGCTGCCGTATCTCGCGTCTGGAGCGGGTATGTCGCTGGAAGATGCGCATGTGCTTGGGTTATGTCTCTCACGGCTGACTGGTAAGTCCCGTGCTGATAAGGCGAGAGCACTGGCGGTGTACGAGCGGTGTAGGCGCGAACGCACTGAACGTGTTGTTTCGAGAGGGAATCGCCAGCAGTATCTTTATCACGTGCATGATGGCGAGGCCCAGGTGCGGCGAGATGAGTTGTTGAAGGCTTTTGGGGGTTTCAATGGCAGGGGCAGGGTGAGGAAGGAGGAGTTTGAAGAGGCCGGGTTGAGGATTGGGGAGGATCCGCTTGCGTGGCGGTGGGGGGGTGTGGGGAGTTGGCTTTTGACATATGGGTGTGAGGAGGATGTTGAGAGGAGGTGGAAGGAGGTGGAAGGGGAGAGTAGGGGAAGTTTGGAGGGGGATAGTGTTAGGGCAGTTTTGTAGGGGAGGCGACTTCGTAGTAAAATCGGAAACTGATATGGAATAGCTTAATTGAGGGGTTTTATATATTATCCAACCCTCATTTGTAGGGTATAGAGTGGGATGTGTAAATTTGTTGGAGTCAGTGTACAAAACATGGGCCGCTTGAGGTAGTCGCTTTGCGTTGGCTGTGGAATTACATCTGCCTGACAATATCTAGGAATTGGCATCTTTTCCAGCAACTGCTAAGAGTGAAATCTTGTAGGAAGTGTACAGTATGTCTTGAGTGCCCGGGCCGTTTGAATGCCGAGTCATATTCCTTGACGGTACTTCCATTTTTCCCTGTCGGTGCAGATTGTACTTATTTATGGTAGAATACCTGTATCATCCCATGTATTAACAGATTTCCCACACTAATAACAATATGTAGACATAAAAATAGCTGACCTGATTATCAGCAGATAGTTACATGAAGACGGAAAGTCAAGAGAAACATGAGTCGGTGTACTAAGAGTGGCCTAAGAAGGTTAGAGGTGGCATGAGAGAAGGGAGACGTCCGAGTTTCCTTCCGTTACAATATACCAACTAAAAAACAACACCACATCAGCACATCAGCACACCCCGCATCCACGATCCAAGCGCAAAAGCTAGCATACTCTCAATCTAGTGAACCAATATTCCGCACGGCTACAAGCGCATGGGAAAAGAGTATCAGATGACCTTCAGCAAACACCGGTCTTATTGACAAGCTCATCGGAGTTGCCCGAACCGCCTCTTTCCGCCCATGTACTAGCCAACAGCCCGTCCAACGAGCCCCGCGTTACTAACAACACCTCGGGCCCCACGTCATGCCTGCCCTCCCCAAAAGCATTCGGCGCGTCGCGTCGCCCTCTCTTTCTTCTTTCCTTTCTTTTTCTTCTTCTTCTTCTCCTTCTCCTCCTTTCCCACAATGACCACACCCACCATCCCCAAATTCAGCCCTGGAGAAGCCGTCAACGAAGAAAATGGCCTGATCCACGGTGTCTCAGCGCAGGAGCTGCAGATTCTAGGGGAGCAATGCTTTGATGCACGTGAGAGGGCTTATTGTAAGTACTTTTATATCCACACAATCAAATAGTGTGCACAAGAATCTTTAGTTTTGTGTCTTGAAAGCGGGGGAAATGGGAATAGTTTTATACCAACAACACCAAAATACAGGCCCTTACTCCCTCTTCCGTGTCGGCGCCTCCCTCCTCCTCAACACCTCAAACCCCACCGCCCCCTCCACAACCCACATAATCACGGGCGCAAACGTCGAAAATGCCGCCTACCCCGTCGGCACCTGTGCAGAGCGCGTCGCCATGGGCACAGCCGTAATAGCAGGACACCGACTCGGCGCCTTCAAGGCCGTTGGCGTCACAACCGACATTGTGGATTTTTGCTCTCCCTGCGGCATGTGTCGCCAGTTCCTGCGAGAGTTCTTAGCGCTTGAGACACCGATTTTCATGTTTAATAAGGAGGGCAAATGGATTGTGAGGACCATGGGCGAGTTGTTGCCCCTGAGCTTTGGGCCGGATGTTTTGCCCCCGCGGGAAGAGTTGAGGAAGGGGCAGGAGGGTGATAAGGCGAAGACTGCTTAAAGGGTTAGTTTGAAATGGGCATTGAGTGTGTGTGCATTTGCAAGGGTACTAGTGGGAGTATATCAGCATCGCTGGCGCACTGGGTGTTGTATGGAATGAAAGGTACTAGATTAGACGGGTGGTACATGTATCCTACAAACAGAATTAAATCCAACAAAATACACGCAATGTACTACTACTACCACTACTACTAATACTGCCTGTTTCTCCCTTTTATCGGAATTCCCATCTCACTCCTACCAATTCTATGTATTCTGGCACCCACCCCCCGCACCGCAGCCCGTCTCTTCTCCCCCCGCGGAAACCCCGATAAGCCACCCCCCCCTCCCCCCAGATAAGAATCCCCAACACCCAACATTTCCCTATCTCCGCGCCCCGTGGATATGTAATGCACAATGCCACAATCTAACCTTCCCTTTAACCAAGTAAATCAACATGGCTGTGACTAATCCCCCTCCCATCCCCCCTCTTGTCCGCCCGCACTGCTTGAGCGTCGGTATTTTTTCTCCGTTTTTTTTGCCATTTTCTAAATTTTTTTTTCCACCCTGGACTGGAACTACTTTTGTGTTGCGTTGTTGATTGAGTAAGATTCGGAAAAATAATTTAGTGATAAGATGAACCAAAGCAATGGGAGTGGGAGGGAAGAAGGGATTACGGATTCTGAGCATTTTTCGCCATATAGGGCGGATGGGAAACTAGTAAGTTATTGTTCTCTCTCTCTCTCTCTCTCTCTCTCCATTTTTTTTGTTAAGAATGGTGAGAGGGGGTTTGGGGTGTGGAGTTGGGGAGAAAGAGACAAGAAAGGTGGGAGGATGAGAAAGACAAAATAAGGATATATGTGAGAATGGATAGCTGATGATACTTGGGAATTAATAGTACGGCTTCGTCTGTGTAGTCACAGGCGCCACGCAACCTGTAGGCAAAGCTATCGTTGCTGAATTAGCTGGTTCGTCTTTCTCCATCCAAAAACCTTTCTTCACAAAACCTCCTTCTCTCCCAGAAGAAGAACCCCCCCCCCCAAATCTCATCACAAACCTATCAATTCTAACCCCACACCCAGCCCACGGCGCAGCCTGCATCTACGCCTGCTCCACCCTCCCCTCCGACCCCTACTCCCTCCCCGATCACACAAGCACGCAGTACCCCAACACGAAAATCATAAGCTACCCATACAACATGGCCTCTGAAGAAGACACCCTGGCCCTCATCGACGACGTCCTAAACACCTGGGGCCGCCTCGACGTCTGGACCTCGTCCACGGGCCTGCTGGGACCCCCCTCAATCACGCAAACGGGACCGAAAGACCTATACGCTGCCTTTGATACGAATGCGCTCCCCGCGTTTTTCGCGCTGAAATACGCACCGGCTGCGATGCAGAAGACGACGCCCAAGGGTAACTATGCGAATGCTGCGCCCAAGGATGTTGCGTATGGTTCCATCATCGTGGTGACGAGCGTGGCGGGGACGTATGGCGGGTGCTGGGCGCCTGCGTTTACCATGGCGTCGCATGCGGCCTTGGGCGTGGTACGATCAGGAGTGCTGGTGCTGAAAGGGACTGGGGTGAGGATTAACGCGGTGGCAGCGGGCCAGATCGATGTCGGTGTTGATTTGAAAGATTGTGGGGTCAAGGAGATGGCGCAGGGACAGTTTCCGCCGGCGAGTTTGCAAGGGGGCGAGAGTCAGAAGAGGACGATTGGGTTGGAGAGGGCGGGGAGACCAGAGGAGGTGGGGAGGACGGTGGGGTTTTTGGCGAGTGGGTTTAGTAGTTATATTACGGGTGCGGAGTTGAGGGTTGATGGGGGCGCGGGGGTTATGAATCCCATTACTGTGCCTGTCTAGTAGGCTATCTAGTGGTAAGGATGGGGGATAGAAGAGGGGATCGAGGGTTCTTTTTTTTTTACAGTAACATACTCCAGCCGTTTACGCCTTGCTAATGCTGCAACACAACCGGTACACCTTTTTCCCAGTTCTCTATGCTCTCTTTGATATTCACCCAGTACCGCAATTTTACCGCTTCGCTCTTTGCTGCATCTAGGTTATCCTCTTTAAACGCCTTGTCGATAATCTCTGTACTTTGCACTATTCTCTCTTCGTTCCTTTGTCGCATCTCTTCCAAATCCTCCTCTCGCTCCGCCTCCTCTATACTCTCTCTCGCCTCGAGAACCTCCATCAACAGTTCCGGGTCGTCCACCTTGGCCGTCTCATCCTCCGCCACCTCAATGCCGCGTAAGGAAAGTAGGTATTGTGCGCGCAGTAAGGGATTTTGCAGCGTTTTGTAGGCTTCGTTTATCCGCGCTGATGTGGCTTCGGCACGCTTTTTGTCTGCTTGCGGGTGGAGATCGGGATGCGCGCGAGCTTGTAGCTGCAGGAACTCGCGCTTAAGGGCGGCGAGGTCGATGGCAAAGGGGCCGTTTGGTGGAGGACCGTCGGGGAGCGATACGGGGAAGAAGGAATAGTGTGTTTGTGGGGCTTGCGCAGTTGCTGATGATTTTGTTTCAAGTGGCTTTTCGACCGTATTCGAGCTCAATGACGTGGATTGGAAGCGACGGAAAGCTGCTTGAGGTGTTATCCGGTGGGCGCAAAAGAGACATGGTGCGCCGATTTGTCGCGTACGAAATGGGGATGAGGCGGCTGATTCGGAGGTGAGCGGTGCGCGGATTTTACGCGCGGCGGATGGTCTCAGGGAGCGCATGGTTTAGGTTGTGGGGTGTATGTATAGGTATAGCGGGGGTGTAGGCGGAGAGAGGATTTGGTGATAAATGTTGCGTTAGGCTAAAGTGCAGGGGTCAAACATTCTCGCGCTCGATATTTGATCGGCTACGTCATCCATCACTGTTACCTACCAATGACATGTGCATGCAACTGACAAATAGTTACAGTCTAGATCCTTTTCTTGTCTGTGGTTAATCGAGTTCGTGTTTGAGCTTTTCGCAAAGTTGCCGAATGCTTCCTATTCGTTGTCTCACTGCAAGCTGGCGTAATGCTCTCTATTGTGGTGGTGCATGAACACTATATCTTGATCTTCTACATCAAAGTCATCAGCACCATATCAAAGATATACCATTAAAACTCAGCAAGTTCTGATTGATATCTCCTGATATGTTATGGCAGCGGATCAATTTACTTTTCCTGCATTGTCCGGAATTTAATAGAGTTAATTGAATGAGCATCTTGCAATAAATTATAACAAATTGCCGATGAATAGGTACTGCAGAGATATTCTATGAGTCACGTTGAAGTCTTCGAACGTCCCTGACATGTGATTATCTTAATAACACAACTAGCGAAGTGGCCATCGTGTACAATATATTTCAGCGTGTAAGTTGTGTTAACATTTGTCACATATTCATTGCGACGCATCGCCTCAGAATGACTGGATTAAAACAGCAACGATCGCAATATCTCACAAATACAAATCGTAGTCATTTATGAGGATTTATTAGGGACAGGCATGTGTGGTGTATTCGTGTCTGATCTTAGATATGTGTTCTGAAGAATATTTGATATCCTCCGTACCAACATACAAAAACAAGATACTCACAAACAGGCTATACATTGTATTATTTCGCTGAGCGGAATATAGACTAAATAACAGCATAGTCAATCACTCACACACCTATGCAAAAATAGAATGATCCTCGGACTACCCTAAGAGCGCTAACAAGCCCGCAAAAAGTGCAAAAAATGGGGTCTTACCGCGACTCGAACGCGGGGCCTCTCGCAAGCTGTGCTCGGGAAAACCCTAAGCGAGAATCATACCACTAGACCATAAGACCGTGTAGCTGTAGTAGCTATTGATGGAAGAAAGAAGCAGACAACACAATATAAAATGAGTAAAAATGGACAGTCAGCGCTGTGGTGAGTCGAATCGGAGAACGAATTCCATCACAACAGTGCGGGGCTCTAGCTGTGGGGTCGGTCGACCCACGGACCTGACATCGTTATCTTAGAACAATATACGTATTACCGTCTAACTGAGATGGTTGGGTAATGCAAATCCTCTGAAATTGAGGGCAGACAGTGTTTATAGTACCTGTTCTTTGCCACTTCCTTCAAGCCACTCCCGATTGATACGTCATATGCACTACCGCAAGGGTCGTGCCTCCATCATCGACATCATGAACGCAATTTCCCGAACTGTGTTTGCATGACTTCTGCTCCACTGTGCAAGCTTCCACTCACTGGGCCAATGTATCCAATGACTGTCGCTCTGCTACAGCCAGCTCCGCGAAATTGTACATAATCATTGTGATGCACAATGGTCCTCCAATTGTTCATTCCTGAAGGTATGCGTCTGAAGAGCACAAGCTGCGCATAGCTCCTGACCGAGCTCTAGGCGAGGGACAACATCCGCTCACGCGAAAACGACCCAGTGGCCTTCCTGCACAGCTTGACCTGATAACATCACCATGGAGAAGTTCACTTGCTGCTGCTGGCCTCACCGGCTTCCTTGCGCTTGTCGGCCGCTCACATCCAGGCACGTTCCTCCGTTCCACCGCCTTCTTCAGCATCGTCGATCTCTCATGGACATCTGCTGGATTGTATGGGCAACGGGAGATAAATAGAGGGGTGTTTAAAATGGAAAACATCACGCCGGAGCCTGGCAAGCTGTGGAAAAGGACTACGCAATGGACTGCACATGATGCGACGCTGGCTGGTGGAGTATTGGGTATTGTGACGGCCTTGAACCCGCGCGCTTTCCCTGGAGCCTATGGAATTTCAAGGTTCATTGGAGCAGCGACTGTCGGATGCGCACTTGGATACAAGGCCGGGCAAACCTTCATAACTCGCATCGACCCGCGACTTATGAGCGTCATTGAAACATCCGATAAGATAACCCGGCGGAGAGCGTATGATAAGTTGCAGCGTGACGAAGAAGCGAAAGCTTCGCTATCTTTCGTTGGCAGACTCGCGCTCAAGTATCATACATCCCCATATGTACAGATTCTGCAGAATCCCCTATATTATGCTGGGGCCATGGGGATGGTTGGTGTGTCTAGTGTACAGCAGCACGCGAAACCATCGAGCCAAGCATCCCGGGGGCCAGCGGTGAGCTCATCGCTGCAAGCAGACGCGGCCAAGTTCACTCTCATACAAATAGAGTTCAAAGCAGACGAATTTACAGGACCAGACATGGAAGCAGGCTATCGAGCATACAAGGACAGTCCTCAGACGCGGGACGTAAACGCCATTCAAGAATGGCGGGAGAAGATCAAGAGGCATAGGGAACAAATAAGAAAGGAAATAGTCCTTTTGTGGAGGCGTCTTGGGTTGAGAGAGGACATCTTCTACCTCCAGACCGAAGAAGACAGGGGTAAAGATATATTGCGACGAGAGCTACAACTACTCAACAACATGACTGAGGACATGATTCTTAGGTATACGATCCTCGGATACCACGAAGCAGACGCGGAAAAGCAATTGCGGCAGATGCACCGAACAGACGATGTTGAACCTTCCAGCACAGAATCCGAAACACCGCAGCAGTCGGCAGTAGCTGCGCAAGACGACTACCCTGGTCCAATTGTTGTCACGGAGCAAGTGCGCACCAACTGGGAAAGACAAAAGGAGGTCCTATACCACCTCGAGCATACGTTGTCACAGTATGAAGAAATGCAGCCAGCGGAAGGATCACCAGTATTTGAGCATCGCAAGCAACTCCAGCAGAATGTGGAAGATCTGAAGAGAAACATCGAGGCTACTGAAAAGATGCTTCACTGGTTCGAGGGGCAGGTACAACTACTGGCCGAGGACAAGGCCAATGCCAAGAGAGAAACGTAGCACTAAGTATGCAATCATTAATGCGTTAGCAAAGATACACCTTTTTCTGAGCAGATTGACTAGAGAGTACTTCACTTATGCAAAAACACCCTATGCACCCAAGACTGTGTTCACGCTCAATTAGTATTCTACAACGCAGCTTCCTTCTTCTCCTGCGCGACCCCAAATGTAGCTCCTCCCTCTTCCAAGAACCGCTTCTCTTCCTCCGTACTCTCCCTCCCCAACGCCCCATTCCGATGTGGATACCTGCCAAACCTATCCAGTATATCTCTATGTTCCCTAGCCGACTTGTTATACCCTCCAAGAAACATTTTTGTGCCTTTGTATCCCTCTAAACTTGCCGCCTCCTTCTCCAACTCATATACAATGCCGTCTACGAAATCGTGATCAGCCACATCTTCAGAGTGGATCAGCGGCATGTAGAACCACATCCTATGCGGCGACGAAAGACGGAAAAGCGGATGTAAATCCGGTCGCGAGATAGGCGACTCGGAGGATAAAAGGGTGCGGACTAGATGCGTCGCAATGCGATCGTAGTGGTTGTACACGAGCTGCAGCCCAGAATTCGTACGGTATATATTCCGCGGTATCTGGTCGAGCAGGAGCGTCATACTGAGCGCCGCCCACGCTGCTTCCTCGCTATTCGCATCCCTATTTCGCTCAGCAATACGGCGCAATTCGTCCAGGAACGGATTCGCGGTCGCGTCGGGCCATTTTTCGGGGCCAATGGCTTCGAGTGCGGGGGAAAAGGCGTCGCGGCATTGTGTGTCGAATGCAACTCGTTCGGCAGGGGTCGCCATGAACCAGCGCTTCACCACGCTCATGTCAAGCTCTTGACCGCTCGTGTCGACACCAGGGAACCATGTCGATACTACGCGATCGTAGAGTGTGCGGTTGAAGAGGGAGGAGTCGAGTTTGAAGGCGGAGGAGGTGGACATGGTGCGTTGGGAAATTGGCGCACGGATGCTGGAGAGGTAGAGACTGGATATTAGGAAACGCAGAGGCGTGCGGACTACCAAGCGAGTGAGCATTATTAGTTTTCCATGGATTTGTTAGCTATGGGATGCGCCTTGATTTTTTTATATGCGATTTGCGCTGCGATCTCGACATGATTCGGGCTAATTGCAAGACTTGTATCTTCGCCAGGTTGCTGAAGGATGAAGGTGGGTTTCGGCGGCTTCGGGAGCCGACAGAGAGACTGCTGACTAAAGACTGCATGCGGTGCTTGTTATCATCATATTCAAGCGTCGCCTTTGTGTGATCTTAGCAGCGGAAAGATGTATCATTTTCGGATCGAATGGTTTGGAGTCTACTTGCCAGAATTGGTGTGTTAGATCCTGCCTAGAGGCTTCGAGACATTCGCGACCAGCACGTGCTAACGCGCTGTGGGAGCCCATGTACATTTCCCCATTGCCATGGTCTGGCGGAATATGGGGAAAGGTGGAGAAGAGGCTATGGACAAAACACGGGCTAGTCTGTCGACCTTTACTCCGCATTCCCCTCTTTCATCTGCCTGCTTCATACTTAGGTCTCTTGGCCTAATTATGTGGGGACGCAATATACATTCAACCATGTATACCATCAAAAGAATGCCCATAATTGATAAAATATCCAGAGATCCGATTCCTAAAGTCTAATCCCTAAGAGCGTTGTGTTGTTTCTTACGCTTCATGTTCTACCCCAACATACACCCCAGCTATTCCTAGCCCCACATGTACACCCTTGCCCTCCTATCCTTGCTGCTCGCGGCCTTTGTTATCTACACACGATACAAGAATAAACCACCGCCCGGCACAAAAGCTGCGCCTGGGCCTACCGGCCTCCCAATCCTCGGAAATGCACATCAACTCAGCCAGCAACCGCACCAGCAGATCACAGCATGGGCTCGAGAGTACGGCGAAGTATACAAAATCCGGCTGGGCTGGAATGATTGGTACATGATATGCTCACCCGATGCGTGCAAGGAAATTCTTGACAAGCAGTCTGCATATACCAGCTCACGGACGCCATTACCTGTATCTGGAGATGCGCTGAGCGGGGGAATGAGATTCTTGTTTATGGAGTATGGACCTGAATGGCGAAAGTTAAGAAGCATCAGCCACAGATTGCTCACTCCTGCTGTGAGCGCCACTTTCAAGCCAAGTCAGGAATTCGAAGCAAAGATGCTGCTTGAGGAGATTTTGAACGGAGCAGATACAGAGAAGGGAAATGGGGTCAGTTACAAAGCGATCAGAAGATATACCGTTAGTGTCATCATGACGAGTACTTATGGAAGACGTATCCCAGATTGGGTGAGTGCGTATATACGAAGAACGTGTGTTGATTTGGACTAATAAGATTAGAACTGCGACGAAGTTCATGGCATTTACGATATCATGAACGATTTTTCTCTCATGGCAAAACCAGGCACTTACCTTGCTGATACACTTCCTTTTCTCGGAAAACTCCCTCCAAAACTACAGTGGTGGCGCAAAGATGTCAAACCATATTTTGAAAAGCAAGCCAGACTCTGGATGTCGTTTTGGAGCACCCTGAAAATGCAGATGGAAACCAAGCAAGCCCCCGAGTGCTTCGTCAAACAATTCATCGAAAGCGACTACGAAAGGCAGGGTATCAGTGAGCTCCAGGCAGCGTTCCTGGCAGGTAGTATGATCGAAGCAGGAAGCGAAACAACATCTGCAGCACTAAATACAGCCATACTTTACCTCTCTGCAAACCCATATGCCAGACAAAGGGCATTTGAAGAGATTCAGAAAGTCGTATCATCTACCAGATCTCCAAACTTCGATGACGAGCCCAACTTGCCTTATATCCGTGCCATCGTCAAAGAAACACTGCGTCTGCGTCCTGTTACCAACATCGGTACACCGCATTATACTACCGCACCCGTCACTTACAAGGGCATCCACATCCCCGCACAATCAGTCGTATGTCTCCAACAATACCCCATTCACTACGATCCCAATATCTTCAACGAACCCCAGCGCTTCAAGCCAGAAAGATATCTCAACCACCCGCACGGATCAGGTCACTACGCTGCTGGCCCTGCAGCGAGCCGCGACCACTGGGCTTTTGGCGCGGGTCGCAGAATCTGCTCTGGCGTGCATCTTGCAGAGAACAGCATTTTCATTGTTCTCGCAAAGTTGCTGTGGGCATTCGATATCTTGCCACCGCTTGATAGCTCGGGAAAGGAGATTGAAGTTGATACTAGCGATGAGGCGTTTGATGCGGCTGGGAGTACGACGATGGCGAAGCCGTATAATGTAAGGTGGAGAGTTCGGTCTGAAGAGGTTAAGGAGACGATATTGCGAGAGGCGGTTGAGGCTAGGAGGGATGGGTATGTGCTTAGAGGGGTGCGTGTGGGTGAAGAGGGTGTTGAGGTTTGATTTTATTGGGATTGTTCACACGGGATTTTCTATCTGCTATCATTTGAAACCCAGTATATCTGTTGCGCAGTCATTTCTACAAACATGATGATAAGACTGCTGCATACTGTAACTGATATAGGCGTTTTGTAAAGTTATTGTTTTCCCATAAAAGTGACCACTGTTTATCCTTTTCGGCGTTTGCTGTCCCCACTTTACCTATCTGACCTCATCGTCCCTTCCTGTGCTCTGCTCCCTGTACCAACAACCCTTCCCCTCTATTACCACACTTTATCCAAACACCAACGCCTTCAAGCAACTTAACGTGAGTACGGCAATAACGAAAAAGACTAGAACCATGGTGTTGAGCGACTTCGACATAGCAGTCTCCAACCTCAACATCGACCAAGGCGACACTATTGAAGACGTCATGAATGTCCCGTTTACGACTGTCGTAGATGCTCCCGTACGGGACTTTGCTACATTGTATCCGCATGACCAGGCAGAGTCGGATGAGGACGAGCAGATAAACAGGTATCGCAGACTGATCGAGGAGAAATTGAGGGTGCAAGTGTCAGCACAGGAACTCGAGTCCAAGATGGCGGCAACAAAAGATATTACCGATCGTTATGCAGCTCAAGCCGTCTGCCAGGATGAAGAAAGCGGTACCGAAGCCATTCATGATGCCCTCACAGATCAAAAAGTCAGCAAACATTCACATGAATACAAACACTGCTAACACCACAACAGTCTCCCAACACAAACAAACCCTCCCCTCCAACACCACCTCCTTTCCACACCCGCCGAGCCTCCGAACCCACTCTCTCCCCAAATACTTCATCAGCCATAACCACCCCACCCAAGGCACCTTGCAATACTCCCTCAAGCCCAACCCCCAATTCACTTCCGCCATCCAAGCACCGTCGAAACCCTGACTCACGCAACATCGACTTTCGGCGACCCCGCCATAAGGTTGAAGAAGAAGAAGAAGGAGAGGAAGAGGAAGAGGAAGAAGACCTCGAACAATACCGCACCATGGATTTAGCACCCTTGGAACCTATTATGCAGAGTAGCTCTGCGGGCGATTTGATTACGTACGGTACACCGATTAAAGTGCGAGATGTGGATATTTTCCGCGTAGCAGGTTGAAAAATGATGGAAGATGAGAGTGCTGTTCATGTTTCGTCACGGTGGCGAAGAAGTCGCCCGGTAATGCCACAGAGGAAAACAAGGTTCACGCAGTGTACAACGTAGATGTAGTAGCAAAAATAATTCAATCTTTCAACTTTTCTTTTCGCTCTCCCATTTTCTCCATGTTGAATCCAAAAAATGGAGCGAATCAAGCGCCATCCCAATGCCCCTATTTGCCGGCTTGGTATCCATAACTACCAAATGCTACGTGGAAAAAAACCCCTCGTATGGCCCCTCTTTTTATATCAAAGATGCCCAAATCCCAACCCTGTAGTTTATCAAATAAGTAGTGTATATCCGCATTGTCATTTCAACGAAATCCAAACACAAACATGAACGTCTGCCCCACCATTTTACAGCCACGCATTCCGCCCTCTCCTCTTCCCCCACAAATGTCTCAGCCTGGTAATGGAAAGACACTGTTGAGAAGAGGACTGCCACCGTCATAGCTGATGCGATGAATCCTGCTGCTGTTCGTCCTGGAGACCAAGTCTCGTGCCGCTACGTCTCCGATCGCGCTCCTCATTCTCTCGCATTTCGTCTGCGAAATCTGCTTCGTCGTTGCTGTGGCCCTCGTAGTCGGTTAGGTCGTCGCTCATGATGTGCAGGATTTGGCTGAATGTGCGGCTCTTCCAGCGGCCCATGCCTTCCATGAGATCTGCGCAGTGGAGGAGTGTGCGGCGGGCGGCGAGGTAGCCGCCATCGAGGGCGATGCCGGTTATGCTAAAAGGACCACCGTGACAGATGAATTTGAGGGCGTCGGTTGTGTCTGGGAAGCCAACGGGGGACTGTGAGCTGTCAATGAAACCGAGTTGGCCGACAGAAAGCCAGTCGACAGGATCGAGAAGCTCGATACACGAGTCGACTGATGGGCAGTTGCCGTTGGTGGTGTTTGAGGATTGGGGTGGGACGGTAAAAATGTATAGGCCTAATATGAGGGCGGCTTCAAAAAGAGCAACGACACTTTGCGGGTTGACTATGTCGCTAACTTTGCGGTCGAAAAGCAATTTGTAGATTTGAGAGGCATGGAGAACGCTGCGGCGAGCGCTGGGCGTCTGACTCCACGCCGAAATATCTTCAAGGGCATTGACAGCGGGCTCGGGACCTGAGCGTCCAGCTGCGAGCTCAAAGTAACGCAGGTTGGCGCCGAGAAGCATGCATGAGGCATGCCAGAGAACGGCAGAGTTAAGGTCTGCGGTGCGAACAGCGTCAATTGAGGAACTCGAGAGATTGACTAGCAAGGGGAGGATGTCACGACTTCGTGGGTCTTCAGCATAAATGCGCCAAGGCTCCAGTTGCTTCTGGTGTCCTGTTGCAGGGGCTAAGCGATCGTTGCTCTCGTAGATACGGAGGAGGAGCAGTGTTAGTAAGCATCGGAAGCTACTGGTATCCAGTTTCAATCCCGGCGTTGGATGAAATGATGGGGTAATCTTTTGTGAGTGAACCTTAGCACCTCTTTGCACAAGGTGGAACCATTTTGCAGCGCTGTTGACATGATACAAAGCGTAATCGGACGGCGGAAGCATGTGAACTGTTTCTGGGCGTATCATAGGAGATGTCGAGAGATATCCTGCCCACCAGCAGTCTGCTTCGACCAGACCGAATATGATTCGTTTGCTGCATTCAATCTTGGACCATGTCTTCCATTTAGCGTCGATGTCGATGATCTCATCAAGAAGGGGTTCTATCTTGCCGGCTTCGTTTGCAGAAAATAGACTTTGGTTCAGAGTAAACTGTAGCTATCAGTATTATAACAATAATAGACAGAAATGTGCACATACACTAATAAGCTCCGAGTATAGCTTTTCGGCTTGCGCGATGCGGCTTTTTCGCTAGAAATGGGTCAGTATATGAACAGATTGTTTTCATTGGTAAACTCACTCCGGTAATGGAAGCCAGATTGAGAGCTAGTAAGCTGGTAGCGATAACCCGCATCTGTCTATGTGGTGGGTGGTCTGATGCTGGTAACGCTTGTAACTCGGCCATGACAAGCTGCAACACAGCCTGTATGTATGTTAGCAGATGAAAGTCTATCTCGTGTACCCTTCTTACAGGAAATGTGCGTGTGACGAATTTGGCTGCGCCAGCTGTCCCCAGAATGCTCAATCCAATCAAACACATGCATAGTAATAAGGACCGCGGAGCGTTCTTGGCCGAGAATGTTGGTATGTGAATGATTGGAAGGGTAGGATGGAAGTAGTAGAGATACATTTCCAAAGCAATGTCAAGAATCTCAGCGGGCGGAAACTGGATGCCCTCTACACTCGGACTTCCAGCAGCATCTCCGCTTGACGATACAGTATCTGCCACGGATTCTGACCGTATCAGATTCGATATGGGTAGATTGTTCAGTGTGGTTTGCAGCTTGCTTCTACATTCCTCGTCAAGACCCCAACGCTGATTTTTGCGCTGCCTCTCGCTGGCGGGCGTATCTGCTGATCTGGAATCATACTCAGAGAGGATATTGATACAGTCGGACGAGACCAGACTCTGCCACAGATCCGGCATTAAACGCGACGATCGCCGATTTCGCGACGGCCAGCAATTCTGGACTCTTTGGAAGCGCTCTCGTGGCACTCTGCTTGCAATGGACGCGCTACTCCCTGATGGGCTGGCTTCATTCTCTTGCATTGCTCGAAAGGCATCCGAGTCGAAGAAGCCGCTGTCAACTCCCCCTACCCCAAGCGAATGCGGACCGTTTGGCGTATGTCCCTCTTGCTCTATTGGAAACAGCCATGTCTGCAGTGCATCTGCTGGGGTCCGATTGGGAATTGGATTGTTGCTCTGGACGAGCTCAAACGCCCACTGGTCCAAGCTTGAAACGTGTCCTGCAGGCGAGAATGAAAGGACCTCCATGGCCGGATCAATGGGGGGGCCCATGTTGTCGTGGTGATTGCGGCTCTGCATCGGCGCGGTTTCCGCGCGGGAAATGAGCATTGGCGAGGGCGACCGCCATGGCGTGTCGACTCCAGGCTCAAGGTGCTGGGCAGCATTAATAAGCGCCTCGATGCGATCATCCCCGGGTGAAGCCGGATGCATTCGCGAGGTAGGCTGGCGGGCGTGAGGGGTGGAAGAGAGGTGGGCGCTGTAGTGGCGGTTTGGGTTCATGTGCTGTTGCATTTGCGCATCCGTCCTGGTGGTCATGGGTGAGAAGCTGGCGTCGTCCTGGATGGGAGGTGTCTGCATTGGCGTAGGGCCGCTGTTTGCGCGTGAAGGCACCGCTGACATTGGAGTCTTGCTGTCATCGAGAGAATTGTTGCGCAGAGGCTGCTGCTGCTGCTGTTGTTGCTGCGTCGAGGTATTCTGCTGCTGTTCATTGTTTTTCATCCGGTTCATGGCATTTTGGGCATGGCCTTTGCAGTGTCGGAATAGGACGTCGCTGATTGGAGGTTGGACACGGGGAACTCTTGTATGCTTTTTCTCAAGGAAGCCTCACCTGCGCGAAAAGTGCTTTTTGCATGTCGGGCACTCGTAGGGGCGCTCTCTGGTGTCTGATTGATAGGTTAGTTGTTGTTGGTGTTGTTTTCGTCGTCGTCGTCGACAGACTGGGGCAGACATACGAGACCGCTCATGGCGCTTCACGTGCTCGACTGTGAGGCAGGTCAGCTCGTTGGAATTTCATCGTCGCCAGACAGTGGAGGGCAACATACGCTTGGTGAAGGTGCGATCGCACATGCTACATTGCTTCAATGCCATGGTTTGCAGCAGTTGCAATGTTTCAATGTGTTTGGCGGGTGATCGGAGGACCCTTCGAAGGCCGGCGTCCGGAGGCGCTAGTTAGGCTGCCAAGCCATGGTGGACTGCGGGGGAAGCCATGCCTATGCCCTGACTCGGCCTACTATGCGGCCAGTATAGGCTCATGTCGACCTCATCTACCAGATGCATATAAATCCGCAATACCTCCTCTAGATTGCACCGCCCGACAACCTCCCTCTCCAATCGTGGCCACCCGATCCCAACGCTTGTCTGACCGTCGCCACGCCTCATGCCAATCACGCAGCCACACCCCAACAAACAAAGCCTATCGGCTTACACCCCATGAGCTCACCATCCAGCCCTAGAGGTCGTGCTGCGCCTTGTTTTAAATGCCCGGCCGACCGAGGCAAAAAAGGAGTGGTAGTGCTGTTCTGCTAACGTAGTACTGGAAAACGACTGCTTTGAGGACCGACTTCTCGAAGGATTCCCTCTTACTTCAACCCCGGATCAACTTGCATGTGGGACGAGATGTGTATACCGGTGGGGCCATGCCGGCCTGTTGGCCATATTGAATCCTTCCACCGTTGCAATTGCCTTGTTACGGCAGTGTGCTTTGCTCAATGTAGCAGCTGTTGTCAATTGATTGCTACTTTGGACATCGGTTAATAGCCCGCATGTTGACCTCCTGGTCGGACATCGGACATCGGAAATTTTGCATATAGAGTGGGTTTCAAAAAGCTTCGGGGCATTTGGACCGCCTTTGACAACTCGCCGCTGGCCAATCGGTTCGCTGTCAGTATGCAATTAATCATCGTCGCGTGCTAGAGGACCCTATATTGCACGTGGCGTGGCCGTTGACACTAATTTAACAACATGCACTCTCCATTTGCCCTGCCCAAACACCAGACGACATTGAGTATGCACAGAAGTCCAAGAAGAGCTCAACTGGATATGATCCGGTGCCTCTGCAAAGTGTATACTACCGATCATGTCTGGACCAGTTTCATGCACACCGGTCTCAAGACGTACGTACGAACGCATCTTGCGGGCCCGTCACGTACTCCAAGCACATCCTTGTTGGCATAGGGAAATCATGCCATTGGATTCATGGAAAATTGTCTCTCTCAAACTCAAATAGTGTTACATCTCGATTCCATCTTGCGGTGTCCTGCGGGTACGCAGCCAAGAGTCATGTTGATCAACAGATACATATTGCAAGACACCGATGTTGATGACATGCACACCAACACGCTTCTGAAACCACTGTCATACTCAACATCCGAGCCTCCAGATGGACACCAGCCTCCATTTCGACATTGCTCGTCACGACGTCAAATGAGGGACGTGTTGGAGGTCCGATTCTGTGTGGGGCATCAGTGGGGCTAGCGCGTCCGCAAGGGTAAAACAGAACGACGTCGTGGGGCCCTTCAGTGACATTGCATATGCGCGTGCATGCTGACACGACCATCAAAAACAAGGTTTGAATAACCCTGAAGGAAACGCCGAAACAGTAAATTTGCTCAGCAGACCAAAACGCTGGAAGAAAAGACGGAGAGAGAGAAAAAAAGGGGGGCAGGCAAGGGGGGAAATCATGACAAGACCGCGTGTTGACCGAGCTGGATCTCCATCGTTCGGAACGGGCGACACGATGGATTGGGCAGGTGAGCAAGGCATTGGAACTGAGCCCCTACACAGATTGGTTACCGTGGGATTGGGTTTACCATATCAGCATACGTACATATAATACCTGGCGTCCGAAGCCGTACCGGCATCCATATGCAGCGAGGAAGGAATAATTTATGCATGTATTGTACACATTACGTTTCGTGTTATGAATCTCCTATGCAACAATGCCAGTATCTCTCAACTCCCTGATTTTGTCCTCGCCATACCCCAGCACCTCTCTCAAGACTTCATCCGTATGCTCGCCTAATAGCGGTGGCGGCATTCGAATCTTGGGCTCTGCTCTTGAGTACTTGACTGGGTGGTTTACGAGTTTGACTTTGCCGAGAGCTTTGTGGTCGACTTCTTCTATCATGCCTCTTGCAAGCACGTGCTCGTGCTCTACTGTTGCCTTGATGTCGTTGACGGCCGCATACGGCATTCCGCTGCCTTCAAAGACATCCAGCCATTCTTTTGTTGTCTTGGTCTTGAGTTCTGCTTCCACCATGTCGTCGAGTGTGGTACGATGTTGTACGCGCAGAGCATTCGTCAGGAAGCGTGGGTCTGTCGCCCATTCCGGATGTGACAGCTTATCGCAAAGGATTTTGAAAAGGCGATCATTGCATCCGCCTACTGCAATGTTGGTGTCCTTTGTCGCATATGCCCGGTACGGAACTACGGTCGCTGTGTACCCTGTTAGCTTTATTTCGACGTCCCATGTTCACATCCACATGTATCTATGGATTTCCCCAACCTTTTCCTCCTTTGATCCCCACATATGGGGAGAAAGCAACTCACCATGCGCAGTACCCCATCTCCCACTATCCCCCTTGCCCGTCACCAACGCACTACTCGCGATATTCGCCAGGCCAGAAACCTGAACATCACTCAAACTCGCATCGATCCACTGTCCCAGCCCCGTACTCTTACGCGCATAGAGCGCCGCTTGAATCCCAATCGCAGTATACATGCCCGTCATGATATCAGTAACCGCAACCCCGACCTTAACGGGCGGTCCATCCCGCTCACCCGTAATGTGCATAAGCCCCATTTCCGCTTCCACCATGACATCGTAGCCTGCACGATCGCGATACGGCCCAGTTTGCCCGTAACCCGTCACCGACGCGTAGATGAGGGAAGGATTAAGTGCCGAGAGGGTAGCATAGTCAAGTTTATATTTTGCAAGTGAACCAGGGAGATAGTTTTCCACGAGCACGTCGCATTGCTGCACTAGTTTGTGGAGAATGGATGTTCCGGTAGGATTGTTGAAGGCGAGGCCTACGGATTTCTTATTGCGGTTTACCTGTGTCGAGGTAAAAAAAACAAGATGTGGTTAGTAAAGTCGGAATTAAACAACAAGAGATGTGAGGATATGGGACGATGGACTTACGGAAAGATAATACGCACTCTCCCCTGGAAACTGCCGTTCCACACCATCAACATACGGTGCATTCGGCGGCCCCCAAGATCTCGTATCATCCCCTCTAGTCGGATGCTCAATCTTGATAACATCTGCTCTGCTTCTTCGTCAGCAAAAAGTCAAAGCATCGTCTTCACCCCCAACCCCCTATCCCCCGTATTTCCCCAACACAACATACCACCGAAATAGGAAATACTTACCCCAAATCCCCCAGAATCTGCGTACAATACGGCTGTACCACCAAAAAAAATACACGGTTAGTAAGGACGTATTCATATGAGGCGGCTATTACATAAACGCACTTACTTACCCCTGCAAGCACCCTCGTCATATCCAACACTTTTACTCCCGCCAACGGCAATTTCTCCACCGCCTTGCTATCCACACTACTCGTACTCGCTATCCCTCTCTTCACCCACGCTCTTTGCCTGGGCGTTTGGCGGGATAAAAATTGTAGGTGCGGTCTGCTGCATCTTGCGAGGGAATACATGAGTGCTGTATCGTAAGTGCTAGTGAAAAGCAAGTGAATGAGACGAAAAAAGAAAACATTAGTACTAAGTAGTGGGTATGTATGGATGGATGATGTACATGGCCGAGGTAGCAAGACAGTAAACGCCCCACATACCGACCGACGCGTGCTTTTGTGGGGTCCTTAGGAGGGAAGAGGGAGGGATGGCGAAGGCAGATTACGGAGGCACAGACGTATCTTTTTTGCAGTCGTAAAAATAGTACTGGGCATGTAGGTAGGAGGAGGGGAAAAAAAAGGGTGACGAGTATCAATTTCTTGCCTCCACGCTGTATGCCAAAGTAGCCGCCCAAGTGCCTAAACTTGGATTTCAAAGTAGTATCCTCCCAATTGCTAATTGCTAATTGTGCCCAGTTAACCCCTGTCTTAAACCCCATTTGCCGTCGGGAAGAGAGAAAAAGATTAAGAAAGAAGAACGAAAGAAAGAAAAGTTAAGCTTTCACACCATTAATTCCATTCACACCCTTCACTTTGCCCAGGTACCCCTCAAACTCCACCCTATGTACCCCATCATCATCCTTCGTATTCGCACCATGCGCGAAACCCCCGAAATAGTAAGGAGCAAGCCGTTGTTTTTCGGCGATCTTGTCTTGCTTGATGCGCGCGAGGAGGTCTTGGGCGCGTTTGTTGGATGAGAAGCGGTCCTATCATCTACTTAGTATGCAAATTTCGAGGAGAAAGAGAGAGAGGGGGGGGGGGAAGTAAAGGGGAAGGGGAAGGCATACAGGTAGATTATCCCAGACTTTATAATTCGTACCATGTGTCTCGATAACACCACAGTTTTTCCGAGCGTATTCGGTCCAGAGGAAGAGACGGCTGGATTCAATCATTATTGTGAGTTGGTCTTGTCCCTTGTCAGCATCTAACCCACTTTTGACAAATCTTCAACGTTTTGGGGGCAGGAAAGGAATAATTACCATTTAATATCTTCTCCGGCATACTCTCATGAATTCGCATGCCATGCTGATACCCCTCATGGAACCCACCATGCGGCGTATGGCTCCCCTCGAAGCTACCGCCGCCGGGCTGGAAGTCGTCGCTGCGGCCGAGGCCTTTGCCGTATATGCAGGCGAGGAACTCGGAGGCCGAGTTGCGGTGGAAGTAGGGGAGGCGGAAGGTGTTGGTTGCTACGTCCCAGCGGGGTCCAAACCAGAGGAAGTCACATAGTGGTGTGAGGGGGTCACGCGATTTGGCGGTCAGGACGGTGAAGATGGAGGGGTCGGTGTGGTCGATTGATGTACTGTTCTGGGAGGAGAATTTGGTCAGATCGTACTTGTAGGGGACGACGTTGCCGTGCCAGGCTACGAGGTCGAAGGGGCTGTGGTCTTGTTGGATGGCTACGAGTTGGCCGTTGGTTTTGTTTACGATTTGCCAGTTCTCGTGTAGTTCGTCGTCGATGGCAGCTACTGGGTAGAGGAAGTCGCGAGGATTGGCCAGTCCATGGCCGCCAAGGGGTCCAAGGTCTGGGAGCTCCCACATAGAGCCCCACACTTCTGTGATGTACCCACGGGCGACCGGAGTATCCGAGGCGAGGTTGAGACAAAATCTGATACCACGTTGAATCACGCAAATTTCTCCTGGCTGAAGGAAGATCTTTCCCATCTCAGTCTTGATATCAAGATTGCCTTGTTGGGCACATATGAGGAAGTCGCCGTCAGTGTTGCAGAATGCCCGTCGGTCCATGCTGGAGTTGATCATGTAGACATAGAGTGCAATGCCCTCTCTAATGTTTGGATCGCCGCTGCCAGCAAGGGTGTGCAGACCATCGACAAAGTCAATCTTCTCATCATCCTTGGGCAACGGGAATGGTCTCCACTCGGCTTGCTCAGGAAGAGTTTCGACTTTTGGGTTAATAGAAAGGAAGCAGTTTGTGATGTTGGACTTGGTCTCAAACGGAATATATCCCTCTGTTGAATCTTAGTAATGACCTCATCATATTGGACATGACACATACGGTGAGCAGCCGCTGGCCGGCAGCGGTACATGTAAGTGCTGTAGTTGTGTGCGCGGGGAGCCGCAAATGCTGAATATGTAATGCCTTCGGTATAGAGGCCAAACCGGACTTCTTGAGGGTTGTTCTGTGCCACTGGAAGGGTGCCTGGAATCACTTCAGATTGGTGTCGATTTCCCCATCCGGCTTGGTAGTCGTATGGGTCATTGGCTCGTGTTGGCTTTAGCCTCTGGAGATCGGTGTAGTGGAAAGCCTTCTGTGGGTCGGTGACGAGCTTGCGTTCTTTGAAGTCCTGCATCTTGTTCAATGTTTGAATATGTTGAATGAATATGCCAAAACTTACAGTGTCGAAAAAATCAGCCTTATATTGGACTTCTCCTCTTTGTGGAACTGTATGCCGACATCTGCCGCGACTAGATGATCGGTCTGTGCATGATGTGGTGGCGGGGCCTAATGCGCATGATAGCGGGGTTACGTCTTCGGTATATGGCTTCCAGGAGCTGCAAGAGACCCACACTGAGTGAAGGATGACCGGGACCAGGTTAGTGGGACGCGTGAGGTCAGACTGTCTTACCTGTTGCTTGGGAGATGGAACCACATCGTGGGCCTCATCATTCTTCGTTTGCGGGGTGCCTTCTTGAAGTTGGAAAGAAATCTAGCGCTTACTCAGATGTGCCATGGTAGAGTTACAAGTCAACGGTCACCAAGTTGAGTGGCTGGTTTACAGCAACAAGCATTTAGTATACTATTTCGATGCAGCTAAGACTTCATCTACCATAAGTCCGCACGAGCCCAGGTAGTTCTTGGCATCACATAACGAGCTCAATTCCTCAGTAGAGATCTTGTCCGTTATCTCAGACCGTGTCTGCAGAGCTTCAAGCAAGCTGGTATCGCGCTCTATACTCTCCTTGCAAGCCTCGTAAACGATATCGTGCGCTTTTGAGCGACCAACATGTGGCGCAAGACCCATCATGACAGCCTCGGCCACGATTAGGCCCTTGGTCGAATACAGATTCGTGAGCATTTGCTTTGGATTGACAACTAGCCCAGAAAGTGCAAAGTCAGCCTGGTTGAGTGCACCAACCGCAATGACAAAACTCTCTGGGACAGCCACCCATTCCAGATGCCATGGACCAGAAGCGCGCTCGAAATCTGACACCATACCATCGAGCACCAAACCCGCGTTTGACCGCAAGATCTTTGATGCTGCCAGGATGACCTCACTTGAAATGGGATTCCTCTTTTGCGGCATAGTAGATGAGGCGCCTCGGTGTGGTACAAACGGCTCTGATACCTCCGAGAGCTCGTTTGATGACATGATGATAATGTCCAGTGCCAATTTCCCAAGAGATCCACCGACAAGTGCAAGATAGTTGGTGATCTCAGCAACGCCGTCTCGTGCAACATGCCAAGTAATGGGAGGATCTGTAAGTCCTAGATCTTTTGCCATCTCCTTTCGAACGCGAATGCCGCCGTCGCCTGAGCCGAGCGAAGCTAAGGAACCCGCAGCTCCTCCAAATTGAACCATCAATGCGCGGTCCCTGAGCTGTTCCAAGCGTTCAAGGTGTCTTTGGAATCCAGAAAGCCAAATGGCGCACTTGTGGCCAAAGGTAATCGGAAGAGCATGTTGCAAGTGTGTGCGGCCAGCCATGGGTGTATCTCGATGCTTCTTCGAGAGATGTTCAAGATTCTTGATGACGGACCGCAGAGTGCGCTCGACAATCTGGAGACCTTCTTTCATCTGCAGAATGCTTGCCAAATCCATGATATCCTGCGTGGTAGCGCCCCAATGTACGTAACGGCCGGCCTCATCACCACAAGACGCAGACAGCTGGCGTACCAACGGGAAGATGGGATATCCAACAATTTCAGTCTCGCGACGTAGCTTGTCGTAGTCCAACTGTGCCTCCCTGGCTTTTGATGTCACGACTTCTCCAATGTGGGAGGGGATGACGTTGCATTTCGATTGTGCCCTGGCCAGGGCCGTCTCAGCGTCGACGCATCGATCAATATATGCCTTGTCGTCAAACACTTTTCGAATCTCGTCTGTGCCAAAGAGAGTGCGAAAGATGACAGAGTCAATTGCGCTGACACTGCCGAGCAGTCGCCGTTGAGGACGAATAGTGTTCAGTCGTGGAATTGCACGTAGTGGGGCGCGTCGAAGCAAGAACATGATGAGTAACTTTATGATGGGACAAAACTCAATGGGCCTTGAAAGGAGATAAACCTTTCAAAAAGGCCCGCTGCGGCAGACACAGCATGGCGGCTTCTTACTGTAGGCGGTGGACAGTGGAAGCCGGGCGTGTGGGACGGGAGTTGCAGTCTCAGTGTGGGGAAAGACAAGAGCGGAGTCTATGCATATGGGTGGGCGTGTGGATATACCGGTGCGGGCGGGTCTTGCCCTTAGCGGTGGCGCAAGAGTACACGTGACTTCGTGTCAATCCCGCATGCACGCGTTCAGCTCTACGCCCATCATCGTTGCTATCGCCACCATCGCCACCACCGTCCCACACGATTATTGAATTTTTATCTACGACGCTACGACTCTCGCACAAACAGCGATGCCACGCCTAGGCCAGTGCTGGCGCACATGCTCACGATGCCAATCTCCTTGTCCTGACGCCGTAGCTCCCCGAACAGCGTGGCTGTCTGACGTGCACCTGTGGCTCCAGTGGGATGCCCAAGCGCTATAGCCCCACCATTTGGATTGACTTTTTCTTCATCCAGCCCCAGTTTCCGTATGCATGCAATCGTCTGGCTCGCAAACGCCTCATTCAGTTCGATAATGTCCACATCCTTGAGCTCTATGCCCGTCCATTTCAGCAACGCTGGTATGGCGAAGATGGGGCTGATGCCCATCTCATCCGGCGCACAGCCCTTAATCTGTGTGCCCACAAAGCGGCCCAGTGGTTGAAGTCCACGAGCTTCTGCCCATGAGCGTCGAGCCAGGATCGTCGAAGATGCTCCGTCAGAAATTTGAGAGCTACATTGTCAGCTTTGCTACCGCAGGTTGAAAGGACGCCTTACGAGTTGCCTGCAGTGCTCTTGCCGTTCTCGCCAAATACAGGCTTGAGCGTTGAAACTTTCTCAAAAGTCAATCCGTGTCGGATACCATCGTCTTTGGTGACTTCGAATTCCGCTGGCTGTCCGCTCGCTTCATCGACTCGTCGTACTTTGACAGGCACAATTTCCCAGTCGAAACGACCTTCTTTTTGTGCACGACTCGCACGTCCGTGGCTTCGCACTGCGTATTCGTCTTGCGACTTCCGATCGACGCCATATCTTTCCGCTACGTTTTCTGACGTGATACCCATGGGCATGAGGCAATCGCGAGCATCTTTGACGTTCGACTCCAAAAGTGTAGGCGAAACATCCGTTGGAATGCCCCGCGAGTTGTAGTTCCTCGACATGCTTTCCACGCCTCCAGCAAGCCCCACGTCCACTTGACCCACCATGATTGAATGTGCTATGTGGGTGATTGCCTGCAAGCTACTCGAGCACTGACGGTTGACTGTATGGAAAGTAGTTGAGTTTGGGAAGCCAGCATGGTTGAGTGCCATTCGTCCGGTCTTTGCAAAACCAAGTTCAGCGAGAACGTTTCCTATCAAGACATCATTGACGCTGCTCTTTTCGATCCCAGCTCGCTGTACAGCAGCTTGCATTACCTAGAAAGGGTTAATGATGCCCAAGATTATAGACAATAGAACCTACCGGCATTAGAATATCCTCTGGATGTGCATCTTTGAATCCACCCTTGAAACTCCGATTGATTGGTGACCTGACAGCAGAAAGCAGCACAACATCATTTGGGTTCTTCTGCAGAATAGTTCGCGCTGCTCTGCTAAAACTTGCCATCTTCGCGGAGACACGAAGATTTCATGATCCACTGCGACCAATGTGGCGCTCTACATATGTAAAGCATAGTCGAACGCGGTACACGGACTACCGCATGTGGTCGCGGTAGTCGCTGTGGCGGGGCTATTGTCCGTGTGGGGCGACGCCGGAAACCCCTCGATGACGAATGGTGCAGCATGACACTAATGTTTGCCGGATCTAGCCTGCATGAAGACGCAACAATTCACTTTCACCATCTTTGCCCGCATACTAAGACATAAGCGACACTACACGATGGCTCTTCCAAACAAGTACCAGAATGGCAGCGTTGACTCCTCTACCAAGGGAGTGTACAGAGCATCACCCGTTAAGCTCATGATATACGGCAATGGTGAATACATCCCCTCTATTTTCTCAACAGAGCTAACTGTTCATGTTAGGAACAAGCAATCAGCTTGTAGATGTCATTAGCGAGCTCGGTGCGACAAAAGCCTTCATCATCACAGGCCGGTCATTGTACGAGAAGACGCCAGTGATTAAAAACATCGAGAAGACTCTGGGATCAGCTCATGGCGGTACATTCAGCAAGATTGGTCAGCATGCGTGAGTAGTTTGCAATCTCTCTGTCTTACTGGAAACTTATTTCATCTAGGCCGATCCAGGACATCAAGGAAGCAACATCCTTGATGGCAAAGTCAGGTTGTGATGTGCTTGTATCTATAGGAGGTGGATCACCCATCGATTCAGCAAAAGCCATTGCATACAACATCCACCAGGAGACAGGAAAATGGATACCCAGCATTGCTGTCCCAACAACGCTTAGTGTCGCCGAGACTACACAAAATGCCGGTTTTACTACAGAGGAAAAGCACAAGATTGCGGTCAGCCATCCGGAGCTGGTACCCAAGGGTGGGTCGCAACATATTTCGAAATGTTTGAGCACTGTCTAACTATGACCAGCTGTGGTTTATGACGGAGACATTGCTGTATATACACCTCTGAATCTCTGGACTAGCACAGGGGTATGAAGCATACACAGCATCAGTAACCTTTTCTCGAGTGTTGACTGACTTGACTCAGATACGCTCTCTGGATCATGCAGTAGAGCTCATGTACCATCCGCTTGCAGCTGAAATACCGACGAAGCGCATGGCTCTGGAAGCCATCAAGGATCTATTTGCCTACTTGCCCCAGTCAAAGGCTGACCCCAATGATGCCGAAGTTCGCACAAAGCTTTTCATTGCATGCTATTCGTCACTCTTCCCTTTCCTCTACACTGGTGGCGTTGGCCTCAGCCACAGCATCGGTCATGCAATCGGTGCTACATATAGTATTCCGCACGGCATCACCAGTTGCCTCAGTCTAGCTCCCACAGTACACTACAAGGCTAGTAACCCAGAAGAAGCAAAGCAAATTGCTAGAATCATTCCGTACATTGGCAAGCAAAGTACCGGTAGCGACGAGAATGATTCGCACATCGTCGCCGATGCCATTGCTGGCCTAGTTGAGGAGCTAGGGCATAAGACTACATTGACAGCTGTGAGTTGCTTGAATACGTCTAATCTGCAATTACTAAAATGCCTCTAGTACAACGTGCCAACGGGCGAAGCTGAAGAAGAAGCTATCGCATTGCGCGCACTGCATAGTAAAGAACACAAAGATTTTGCTAGCTGTAAGTCATCTTGCCAACAGTCCCACATCCAGAAGCTAATATCTTCTATAGTGAAGCAGATTGTGCGTGGCCTCTATTGAAACTGACGCTAGAAGCAAGGCAAAGTACCATAGTAGATACAAATGAGTTGTAGTTTGTCCGGTGAATCAAACTAGTAATTGTACAAGACCGAAGTACCACCAGCATATGAGCTGACTACGCTCTGTTTGAATAGTGGAAACATTTTCCATGTAAGCGGTGGAAACCTTTTCCATGTCCGAGCCCCATGGCTTTTTCCGCTGCATGGCATGACCAATCAACGTGCGTTTTGCCCGCAACCTCCGCAATGCTCTCGGTTAAGCTCTTTTCCGCCGCCTCCGATTGTGGAGACATTCTCGCCCGCCATCGGGCACGGCATTTGTGTCGGTCTGCCCTAACTCGCTAGTAACAATGATGCATAGCCTCGTGCTGTTCGTGTGGGGAGTGTCATCTCCGCACCATATTCCTCACCACCACATTTTCTTTATCATCTTTGGACGTTGACGACTGTAAAGGATATTGGAACCTGTCGCTGTGACGTAGATACCCTTGTGCTGAAGTCCAGTAATTCCTCTAAACATCTAACAATTCGACAACAACTGAAAATACACTGAGCGGATTAAGCACACTGATTTCAACTTTAATTTCCTTCCATTATACACGACCAAAGCCTTCAGCAATGCAAAGATCTCTACTCTTTTCGGCGCGCCGCCGTGGCCCAGCGACGGGCATGCGCTTCTTTTCTGCCAGCGCATCACGACCGGCAATCAACAAGATAGTCTCTTCCGCACAAGAAGCCATCAGGGACATGAAGCCTGACTCCACGCTGCTGGTTGGTGGCTTTGGTTTCTCTGGAGTACCGAACACACTCATTAATGCTCTGCGCGATCGATCCGACCTTACAAACTTCACAGTTGTCAGCAACAACGCTGGTATGCCTGGCGTTGGACTGGGACAGCTTCTGGAGACCAAGCAAATTGGTACCATGATTGCGAGTTATATTGGAGACAACAAGGTGTTTGAGCAAATGTACTTGAAGGGAGAATTAAGTCTGCAGTTGACCCCTCAGGGTACTATTGCGGAGAAGTGCGCTGCTGGTGCTGCGGGCGTACCGGCTTTTTACACACCGGCTGCATATGGAACAATAGGTGCGTTTTATAGAGGACTGGTAGTGAAGAATGTTGACTAACATCATGTAGTACAAACTGGTGAACTGCCAGTCCGCTACAACACTGACGGAACGATCGCAAAGATGGCACCACCAAAGGAAACACGTGAATTCAACGGAAAGTCGTATGTCATGGAAGAGGCTATCTTCGGAGACTATGCATTCGTTAAGGTTGCCAAAGCCGACCGTCTCGGTAACTGCCAGTTCCGAAAAGCACAAAACAACTTCAACGAAGCAATGGGCAAGAACGCAAAGATGACAATTGTCGAAGCAGATGAGATTGTTGAAGATGGCGAGATTGCACCTGAGGATATCCACCTCCAGGGAATCTATGTCAAGAGGGTGATTAAGAGTACAGTAGGCAAAGAAATCGAGAGAAAGGTGTTCTGGAAGAGCCCTGAAGAGCAGAAAAAGGCGCTTTTGGAAGGCGGTATGTCTTGAGTGAGACTCTCAGTAAAAAGGCTTCGGGAACTGACAGTGCAGCAGGATCATCCGAGGCATCACAAAAACGTGAGCGTATCATCAAGCGCGCGGCACAAGAGCTCAAGGACGGCATGTACGTCAACCTTGGTATTGGCATGCCGCTCGCAGCACCTGCTTTCCTACCCGAGGGCACTGAAATTATACTCGAGTCTGAGAACGGCATCCTGGGTATGGGAAGGTATCCTAAGCCAGGAGAGGAAGTACGCTTATGATACCCTGCTATACACAGGCAATAAACTTACACAAACACAGGACCCAGACCTGATCAACGCAGGCAAAGAAACAGTCACACTCATCAAAGGCGCTTCAACATTCGGAAGCCACGAGTCTTTTGGCATGATCCGTTCCGGCCGCATAGACGTTGCCATGCTCGGCGCCATGCAAGTAAACCAATACGGAGGCACGTCCCCTCTCCTCCCAACCTCATATCAAAACACCTTTCTCTAACTCCAACATCTAGACCTAGCAAACTTCATGCTCCCCGGCAAAGTCAAAGGCATCGGCGGCGCCATGGACCTCGTCGCCAATCCCACGCAAACCAAAGTCGTCATCACCATGGAACACGTCGACAAGAAGGGCAACCCCAAGATCCTCAAGCAATGCACATTCCCGCTTACGGGCCAGAAGTGCGTCAGCACAATTATTACGGACCTGGCGGTTTTCGAGTGTGATCGTGTGGAGGGCTTGACGCTGATTGAGCATGCGAAGGGAGTCTCGGTTGAGGAGATACGGGCGAAGACGGAGGCAGAGTTCAAGGTTAGTGAGGGGTTAAAGGAGATGAGTGTGTGAGGGAATATGTCTGGATGTTTTCATGTTAAAAATTTGGAGTCGGATTGGCTGATAGCGATGAATTCATGTGTTACTTTTGTTATCTGATTACATTTCATAAAAGGAATCTTAAGCGAGTGAGATGGTATCCAAGCTGTGTTTTACGTACGTAAGTACATATGTCGGTGTGGGATAGCATCTTGACTAGCACCTGTGCACGTTCAAGTGTAGATACGTGCATAGATAGTGTTTGTTAGTCTTGCGTCAACATGAGACAATAAAAGGACTCTTCTACAAAACCATTGTGGCTTTCTCAAGAATCTCTCATGTTTTAGTAAGTAATCAATGATCGATCTCTTCCCCGCTGTCCACCGCTGAGCCTCCTACCTCCATTAGCTGACCCCTATAGACGATCTCAATCTAGAGACCCACTTCCCAACCCGCATTTACAATGGTTTGGACCCCGAGCTTTCTGTCCCAAGCCTTGGAGTGACGCAATATGAAGATTCTATCTGTGCAGCAATACGAAGATCGCGACCGAAATTAGCTAATAGGCCATACTAGAGCTAACTGTCTAAGATCTTCGACATTTCGGCGCTTACTATAGTGATACCGTAGTTTTTTCATTAGCAAAACGTGAGACTTAGTGCTTACTAGGACTCTTGGAATCACTCGACTATGTTATTGCAGAGGTCTGTGAAATAGTATTTAAGATAAATGATGACAATGTTGTCCATGCTCTACTAAACAGGTTGTTATTGCACTCACCATCGCCGAACTATACCTTAAGACCATACTACACCTTGACTTGAAATGACCGAAGAGTCGATCGTTCAAAATGATACTCAACTTGAATAATATCTTGCTTCTCCTAGCTGCTACTGGGTCCATTCAAGCCGGAATCATTCGAGCCAACGAGGACATCGATAAGCGTGCACCAGAACCAGCACGAGTAGGACCTAGACAGCCACAAGATACTGAAGTCATTAAAATTACCCGACCCTTTGTGAGTTGAATTGTCTCCTCACATGCTCGTATAATTTCCTAATACTAGATTTCTAGCTTTGCAACCCAAATTCACACATATGTGGCAATGGTGATGACTTCAACACGTACAAATGCAGGGTGAGTATGAACAGTAGCTTTTTTACTTTAGTTGTACTAATTCATTGTTAGATGCGTTGTACTGCATGGCATGGTTGCATACCCCAAGCTGATGGAACAGCGTACTGCTCTTAAAAACTCACTGTAGCATTGATGGTCCGGGTGTTGGGTAGGGTGAGATCAGTCGAGCTTTGCCTGGGTCGCAGGGGTAGATATCGAGTATCCCGTATGACAGATAGTCAGACTGATTATTGAATCATGATACCAAAAGACACCCTTTCGCCTTTTCTTCTCACAGAGTGATCCTCTCCTCACATCAAGCTATATTATATGATTTTTTGTTTTACCAATCGATACATAGTGGCACGCCTTCCTCTCAAAACCCTACTCCCCAAATTCCCACGTCCCATCCTCCCTCCTCACCCCTCTATCCTCATACCCCTCCGGCAACTTCCCACCAACAAACAAATAAACACTACTCCCATCCCTATCCCTACACCTTTCATCCTCCGCTGCCTCCTTCCAAACCTCTAACGCCCTCTCCGCCATACTACACCCGGTCCCCACCTGCCTCGCACTCTGGACCCCCAACCCCAAATCCTTCACCATCATCTGCGTCCTAAACCCCGGTCTATACCCGCTGTTACTCGGAACCCAGTACTCGGTCTGCACATTCGGCACCGGCATAACATGATCGCACATCCAGGACTGGCCCGTGCTGGATTTTATGACGGAGTAGAGGGCGGACGGGTCGAGGCCGTGCGAGATTCCCAGCGCCAGGGCTTCGGCAGTCGCGAGCAGGATGGTGCCGGAGAGATAGTTGTTTGCGATTTTGGCGGTTAGGCCTGCGCCGAGGGTGGAGAGGTAGAAGGATTTTGAAGACGGGCCGAGCATAGCTAAGATACTGGAGAGACGGGTGGAGAGGGCGGGGTTGGAGGAAGAAGATGGGGCAGGGTGCCCGATTAGGAGGGACAAGGTGCCTGCCCGGGCGGCGGGGACGCCACCGGAAACGGGAGCGTCGATGTAGGTTCCTAGGCCTGCGTGGTGGAGTGCTGCGCCGACTTCTTTGGTGGTTTGCACATCGATGGTGCTGCATTCTAACATTATTCTTTCCGCGTCCTTACGTGCGGCGATGACACCGGTTTCAGGGTCTAGATAGACTTTCTTCACGTCTGAGCCGTCGGGGACTATGGAAATGAGGTATTTGGCTTTTTCGGCGGCTTCGCGTGCTGAGGCGCTGATTTCGATGGGGCCGTGGCTCGAGTATTCGGACTTGAAGCGTGTGCAGGCCGAGGCGTTGATGTCGTTGATGTAGAGAGTAGAGGTTGAAGGCATTTTGAGGCGTATGTTGGATGCCATTGCATAGCCCATTGCTCCCAGACCTATTCCATAGTTGTCAATAGATGTTCTTCGCATGCACGTCCGAGTTTGCTGGGCTTGGTGAGAATACCGATGAATGCATACTCTTCTGACATGATGCTCAAAGTTGTTTATTCTTTTCTTTCCACCAATAATCTCACGCAGCCTATGATATCGATTTTTTAATGAAAACGCCGTTTTCTTAAACCATGAAATCTATTCTTAAACCCTTAGTCGCCAGTAGATGTCCTCATGCACCCCAGTTCTGTTTAGGCTGTACCCCAATATACGCTGCCCCACATGTGCCCCTCTCTTCCCCAACGTGGGATCCCACATCAGCCCCGGCCCCATACTGCTTCGGCTGTTGTATTTTGCGTCATCCTGTTCGGACAGGGGTACGAATTTGTGTAACGACCATGTAGAGTGACATTGCAAGGGTGATAACTCCAGAATCCTGCTTTGCATGGTATACATACCTCAGTCCCAATCTTCTCCAGAGAGCAACCCAAATCAACCGTTTCATTCACCCAGCTATGTCTCCTTCTCCTCCCCTCAAAGTTGCTGTGATCGGCCCAGCAGGTTTCGGTGGTTCTTACCTCTCCGTTGAACTACTAAATCGAGGCCACACTGTAATTGGGATATCTCGCAGCCCAGCAAAACTTGGAAAACACGAGCGCTATGTCCCCCGACCTGTGGATATAGATACAGCATCGATCGAAGAGATAGCTGAAAAGTTCAAAGATGCAGATGCGCTTGTATGTGAGTTTGGGCCTCATACAACAGGAGCAGGTGCATTGCTATATAGTACGTTTGTATTTATACCTCCTTTCCTCTGCGCTCATGTACATCTATCTCAAATTGTTCACATGAAAAAACCACATGTAAAAACAAAACATCAAACATCAAGACGTGGAAACTGACACAAACCCCGCCCAGTGCCCTTCCTCGAATCCGTCCGCAAAATCATCCTCGCCCACAAACTCCACCCAACTCCTTACTTCCTCTTCGTTGGTGGCGCCGGCTCTCTCCACGTCCCCGGCACCTCGCTCCCCTGCGTCGACCACCCGGACTTCTTCCTCGCCTACCGCCGCGCAATCTCCACATCCCTCGCTCACATCGCGTACATGGAGGAGCGCCTCGGGATTATGGGCACGGCGCTGCGTCGGTACCGCTCTGCACGTCTGGCGTCGCCGCCCTCAGAAGAGGATTTGGCTGTTATAGCGGAATATGAGCGCCATATTCGAGGCAAGGATGATGCGAGCGATTTCATCAAAGCGGGGCGTACGGCGTATATGTTTTTCGATGGGAGAACGGATTTTAAGTGGAGTTTCGTTTCGCCGCCTGCGTTGTATCGGCCGGGAAAGCGGACAGGGAAATATGAGATTAGTGTGGATGATATGGTGCTTTTGGGGAGCCAGAAGCAGGGGAAGGATATTTTCGAGGGGCGACTGACGGGGATTAGTGTAGGGGATATGGCGATTGCGATTGCTGATGAGGTAGAGCAGAAGAAGTTGGTTGGGACGCATTGGTCGGCTTGGGGAGATGTTAGTGAAGATGTGCCTGCGCCTGCATATGCGTCATTGGAGGGGGTGGATGGAGGGAGTAAGTAGGAAGTGCTGAAGGAGGAACCTTATCTCATAGTTTCATGTTAGATATTTTTTGATGTTTATGATTTGTGTGATTATCTGATTATGGTCGTCTCGTCTAGTTTGACCCGCTCCTCATTCAACGCGATTCCAGGCTTCCTGTGTAGCTACCGACCCTGAAAATAGTCAGAAAAAACCTTGAGTACTGCATCGAACCCAATTTTCTCTGCAATCTTCAACACGTGTTCGTCTCGCCCAATCTTTTTGGGGTCACCATCCGGCACCCATCTACTTGTCACACCGTCGGCACTCGGCCCGTATACCTTTGCGCGCAACTTGTCTTGCTGTACAGGTGGCCACGGATTCTCGCCATTGACAAATTTGATAAAGTCTGCTCCGTATTCCTTGGCCACCTTAAGTTGCGCATCATCCAGATGTTCGTTGAAATTTTGAAACAGATACGCTAGGTCGAGAATGTGGCCGGCTTCACCTTTGAACCGACCTTCCCAAGGTATACCCTCGTTGAAGTGATACAGGAAAAGTTTCGATTCGGGTGTATTTGGCCAACCCTGAGCAAATGCACGTGAGGGAGCGTAAAAGCAGATTTCAGACGCGAAGCGTGCAATGGCGAGGATTGCCTCGTCATCTGAAGTCGAGGCAGTGACGTTGTAAGCCGCGAGTAATTCTGTAGCTACTTCTGGTTGGGCGGACAATGTTTTATTGCAAGAGTTGATGAACCCTTGGGCAATGCCAGGCTTACGGGCATCCAGCGTGGTGAATGCGAAGATACTGCCCTAAATACTGTAAGCTGTTGCTACTTTACCACTTGCACAGCAGCTTACATCGAGCTTCGAATCTCCCAGCATCAAGGCTTTGCACCATTTTCGGCCAGGCAGCAGGAAATTAGTTTTTTCTTCTTGAGATGAAACAGTTGAGAAATCAGGGAAGCCAGGTACTGTCTCATTGTCGATGGAAGGGACCATAGGCGCTGATGGCGGTGCTTTCTGCCAGAGATCGTCGACGGGCAAGGCCAAGAGAGCCTTGATGCGATCTTCTGGAGACAGTTCTGCGAGTCCAAATGCTTCAATGACATTTTGATAGGCGGACTCTGCCACGGATTCTGGGATGGGTAAAACGAGGAGTGGTGTTCCTCCAGTAGCAAGACCTTGCTCCATTAATGGCTCTTTCGAGCCCAATAAGTATATCACAGACGCTGTGAGAGTCAGTCATGCTTTCAAGATCACTGATTGTTGAACATACCGCCTCCAGCACTTTCTCCGCACACTGTTATTCGATTGGAGTCACCGCCAAAGCCACCTATGAATTTCTTGACCCACTGCAGTGCTGTACGTTGGTCTTGAAGGCCGTTATTTGCTTTGTATCCAGCTTTTCGTAATTCGGCTGATGTGATAAATCCAGTGACACCCAACCGGTAACTGATTGGTTTAGCATGGAGTCATTGTACAACTCTTAGCCAGACCTACTTGATAGTGATGCCTATTATAGGCTTCTTCATCTCAGCGGACTGTTTCACAATAGCAGCCGGGTCATAATGCGGATACCAGCCGCTTCCAACTGCGAATCCACCTCCGTGTATGAAAACGTAGACTGGTAACTTTAAATTTGAGTCAATGGAACCACTTTTGTCCGTAGGTACAGTAATGTTGAGATTCAGACCTTCAAGATCTGACTGTGGCGGAACCTCCGGCAATGGCAGGGACTTTTGGATAAAGCTAAATTCTGCATGAAGGGAGCCAGCTGGCGCTACTGTAGGAGGCCTAGATTGATTAAGCAGCTGTTGGGTGGTACAAGAGTATGTTGTACATACCCAAACTTGGTGGCATCTGTGTTTCCAGGCCCGTAATTATCCGCCAACTCTGGTGGGGCAAAGCGGTCCTTTATCGAAGCGTACCTGAGACCTAAGAATTGTGCGACTCCATCTCTTTGGTTTCCCTCAATCTCCCCAAGCACTGGATGCTTGAGGGTGGCTGACATATTGATTATCGCAAAGAAACAACAAGCGGTAGTGGATATAGTTAGTACGTACGTACAGATACTCGTTATAAGTCGAGCCCCACTAAGCTTCCCCACCTCACCAACCCTAAACCTCTCTACCTTCTTTACTATCCACTATCTTTAGTATACTACCCTCTTTTTCTTTTATAAAAGAGCTATATATAATAAAAATACTTTAAAGTATTTTTATTTTAGATAAAATCTTTAAAGAGTATATAAAAAAATATTTTTATAAATA